AGCTTTTGTGCAGATGGTTTTATGTTATCATCACTTCATTTAGCAGGGATGGCAAAGTGGATATTGTTCATTCATTTGATTTCTGAGCAATGGATAGAGTGCTGGACTTGCAATCCAGAAAACCAGTTTGACTTTGACCTCAGAAGCTTTCCAGCCATGTAACTCTGGGCAAGTCACTTAACTTCTTTCTGTCAGCCTCAGTTTCCTCAATAGTAAAATGGTGATAATAATAGCACTTACCTCTCACTGTGAGGACCAAATAACATAATATATGTAAAGCACATTGTAAACCCTAAAGAGCTATACAAATTCTAGCTATTATCGTCAGTTATTATTATCGTATTACTACTACTACTACTATTCTCATGAAGAGGTGTCCCAAAAAAATTTTTGTTGTTGTTAAAAACATATCCTCATAGTCAAAAGGTTGAGAACCACTTAGGAATTGTTATTGTCAAATCTTGAGCTAAGGCCCAAGTTTTCCCATAGCTAGTTCAATTAAATTCAAAGAGATAAAGACCTACTATATGCAGCATGGGTCCTAGGAACTCTTCCCTAAACTACTGTTCAGTATGGAGCATTTAGGAGAATCGTCATTGTGCAAATAGGATTCCAACCTCCCTCTAGCACACCCCAACAGACCAGAAATCATAATTGAAACTGAAAAGTTTTTAATTAGGGAAGAACAAGAAAAGAAATAACAAGGGAGAAAGAACTGATATACAAAGGAGCACAACCTTCCTCAAATTCCTTTGCTGCCATTGGGAAAGAAATTACTTGAACAATTCATGCTCCTAGGGGTTAGTTCCCTGGGGAACACTGAAGAAATTGCCACTTACTGCTTCTCTTCCAAGCAGTTGCTGTCATCTGCTATATCTTTCTTCTGCCACTGAGGCAAAATATTTCCTCAAAAGCTTGTCTTATTGCCCTTCTGTGAGACAAATTAAAACAAAACATTTTTGGATGCTGAGAAATAGAAATAGTTCCTTCTGGTCAAGATCTGGTTGTTGTCTTTTTTCCTTTTTTTTTTTTTTTTTTGCTAGGCAATGGGGTTAAGTGACTTGCCCAGGGTCACACAGCTGGTGAGGGTTATGTGTCTGAGGCCGTATTTGAACTCAGGTCAGGGCCAGTGCTCTATCCACTGTGCCACCTAGATGTCCCTATTGTTGTTTTTTTTTTTCCTGTCAACATTTTCTACCCCCAAAGGGAGCCCTAAGGCACCCTGATATTTAAGTTGGGGTAAGTCTCTTTCAAGGGCAGCTAAGTGACTCAGTAAACAGAGTGCTGGGCCAGGAGTCAGGAAGATTCATATTCATGAACTCAAAGCCAGTCTTAGAAATTTACTATCTGTGTGACCCTGGGTGAGTCACTTAACCTGTTTGCCTCAGTTTCCTCATCTGTCAAATGAGCTGGAGAAGGAAATGGCAAACCACCCCAGTATCTTTGCCAAGAAAACCCCAAACAGGGTCACAAAGAGTCGGACACAACTGAAACTATTGTACAACAACAACAACAACAAAAAGTCTCTTTCAACTTTAATCATAACCTTGGCTACAAGCTTCGAGGCTAAGGTGTGCTGGTAAATGTTTAACAACTGGCTCTCCTGAAGAAAAAAAATATCCATAACATTCTTTAAGCTTCTTTATTAATATTTTCCCATCACAAAAAAATCAATAAATCAATCCCTGATTCATAGAATTTGCTGCTTTCCAAAGTGTAACTACTCACACTAAAAATTTAATGATTGACTTTCAGGAGCTGGTAAAATCTGACTCTGGTACACCTTCCCTGAAGCTTCAATAAACCTAACAGAGGCACTTAGCAACACCAGAAAAGGCAAAATGGAACTGAAAACCTTTGTCCTGTGGTTTCTGACACTCTGCCCACATTTCTTTCCTTATAAACTCACAGAGATGAACAAGAGAGTTCCTGTCCTTACAGTCTCCTGAGGGACCATATAATCTACAACATGTAACATGTATGTAGATGAGTGTAATACAAGGGAATCCATGAGTGACATAGTGGAGACTTTCAAGTTTTTCCTTTTTGGGGTCCAGATCCCACCTTTGTCAGTGAGGTACATCACTTTCAGCTTGAGGATCAGAGAAGACTATTTCACCTGAATTAAGCTTTAAAGAAAGAGATGGATTACAACTGGGAGATTAGAGGAAGAAACACATTTCAGGTATAGGAGTGAAGTGGATGGTGCAATTGTCAAGAGGCTGGGGAGTGCTGAAGGAAATTGGGGAATAGCTAGGATATGGCTGAATTTAGGACATGCAAAAGGGAATCATGAAATAAGGCTAACAAGGCAGCTTTGGAACCAGATTGTGGAGGCCCTTAGATACTAGGCTAAGACCAAGACAGTTCAACCAAATCAACATTTTGTCCCATCTGCCTTTCTACAAATTAAATATGACCTGTCAAAATCTGGATACTTGCTTTAGCATTCTAGCAATCTTGGAATAAAGCACTCACCTGGACACTAGTCCCCAATCCCATACACCCACACACACCCCCCCTCACAAACATAGGCACAACACACATACAAGCACACAACTCATACACACCAATCAGTTTAGATGAAGGCTTCCAACTCCACTCAGTTAACAACAGTTCCTTTTCTTTGGCTACCCATTGTCTGACCTGTTCATTTTCAACTTTTTCAATTAGCCCACAATTATTCATGTTGGGAATAAAGCAGGGAATAGACCTACCTGACTGAGAAGATTGGTTTGGTTTTCCTACAATTTGTTGAATTGCATAAATTTCCCTTTGAGGACTTACAGTGGAGAATGGAAGCTAGGAGGAAAGTTGGTTTAAGACCTTGCATTCTCTATGTTGTATTTTTGGATAAAGAACTGTTCCTGATCATCCATAGGCAGGAAGTATTGTCATCAGGGCAGGACCTGATGAGAAAGACAAGGAAGTTGGAAGTTTATTGACTACCATCATTATTTTTGCTGCAGGGAAGCCTTTAGTTGTTCCCTGAACCACTTCACACACACCCTCTGTGAGAATGGTTGAGTGTATCCTGCAGGGAATCAGGATCCAGATCTCAAAGACAGGAAGGGCAAGAGAATGATTGACTCAATATTGAAGCTGATGGCAACTTATTGTGTAGAGAGATTGGTATCTTTGCTCATTCCACCAGACAGATTTTCCAAAAGGTCATTCTTGTCCATTGGTAACACGTCTTGCAAAGAATACATCATGCTGTGGCTTAATATAAGGAGATGAGTCCTCTTGGCAAGAGAGCTGTTTCAAGTTAGAGCATCATCATTAATGAGCATTTATCAATGTGCCAAGCACTCTCCTAAGTACTAGGTATGCAAATGCAGAAGAGAGATTGTCCCTGCCCTCAAAGGGCTTGCATATTCTACTAGGAGGAGGGGTTGTGCATGTAACTGTGTAATGTGTTTAATTGATAAACAAAGGGAAAGATGGACCCAGTGCATCCCAGGTGCAGATTTACTCATCACTCCAATTCACATCTGCTATCACATGTGCAAAATACTAGTTCCAGGTGAAGCTCCAGACAGTGGAGTCGATTTCCAGAAGGCCAAGCCCAAACCTAAGTATTTATGGCAGCTTCCTTAGAGTTTATTAGAACATAAGAGTAACATAATTTCAGTCACAAATCTAAAGTGTCAACAGCCTATAAAAATGCGTCATTTAATTTTTTAGTATTTTTCAGCATCCAACATTTTCCGCACAGAAACCTACTTAGCAGCTGCATTTTAACTTAGAATTTTAAACTGATAAAGCCAGAAAGAACTGGAGAAAATCTACCCTTTGTTCTAATTACCCATCATGAAGAATTCACCTTCCAGGAAAAGCAGCAGACTTTTCAGAGCCGCTCAACCCAACAAATGTCCAACTCCAAAATAGCTGAGCTTTGCAGAAGCAGCCCAGCCCAAGAAGTCAGTGATTGAGTCGCCAAACTGCTGAAGCACTCAAATCCTTCTGGTTTGCCTTGGGCAGCTGAACTGCCTATTAATACTCATTTTCATGGGGATTATCTGATATCCTGGACATAAAGTGTTCAAAGTTTTACTCTCACTAAAGTGTTCAATTCATTTCTTTCAGGCTGGGAGCACTTAACCTTCAGCCGTTCATTCATTATTCAGATGTATATCTATAATTACCCTAATTAATAGTGCTTTGTCTGCTGATACAAATATTTTTTGTTTAGTAAGTATCCTTTCAGGAAAAAAAAACCATCCTATATCTACATACATAATTAGAGACGGGGATTAATTAGACCTGTGATTTCATTGGTAAGGGAACTCCCTCTAACAAAACAGGTCAGTACCTTCCCTGCAACTTAGTCTTAGCTAATCGCTCAGGGAACAGGGAGGTTAAGAATATTCCACTCACGTGAGGGTCAAACAGCCAATATACATCAGAAGGAGAACCTGAACCCAAATCTTCCCGGCTTCAAAGCCAACTGTCTATCCCAGCGTGGTTGCTTCTCAATGACATGCCTCTTGATATATAATTATATATGGGATACAAGTATGCATCCAGACCTCACTATAACACTACAGAGTAGAATTTGCTTAGGATCTCCTCCAAAGGTATCCAGTTAGGGAAGTACACAAAGGCTCTTTTAAAACCAGATGAACCTATACATTGATCCTACAGCATGCCCCTAAGGCTTGCATTCCAGATAGACCCCAGTGTGACAGCATGTTTGTAACTATCACAGGTTGAAGGTTGCCTAATTGTCTTGTTTATAAAAACTGCACCTAGGAAATTAGACAGTGGTCATGTTCCTGTTTCTTTTTCACAGCAGTGACTGACATGACATAAATGAGCATGTTAACTATTAGCCAAGGCTGCTATTAGTTGGACTTTGGAGCACCCCACTCCAAAGAACCAGTCCTTACCAACCTTGGTCTATCCTCAAGAAAAGCTGTTGACTGACTATGAAAAATAAAGCATAACCAAATGTTGTTGTATGTTTTTATTATAAAACAAATTAAATAAATGTGTGATCAGACATAAACAAGAACTTAGGAGAGTGAACTCAGTTCATAGTTCATGGTGGAGAAGGTTGAGAAGTGGAAGAAGAGGAAGTAGAAGAGGTGGGATGGTCAACATTCACAGTTTCTTTTTCTTCATATCTGGGAGGTAATTCAGATGAAATATGTGAAGCAGGTGATATCTCTGAAGATAAATTCATTCCAGAAATTGTATATATAGATTCAGGATCTCTATAAGAGACTGCTCCTTGAACCTCAGGAACTTGGGTCCTGTTAAAAAGAGAAAGAAAAAGCATGAGAAAGAGATGGACATTTTTTAAACTACATGAAGGCACAGAATTATAGCTCTCAAAGGCCTTCTACTCCAACCCATGCCTGCAAAAAAAATAAAAATAAAAAAAATTCCCTCTACAGGGATCTGAGTAAATGGTCACAAAGCCTCTGTATGAACATCTCTATCAAGGCGAGCTCTTTATCTTTCCAAGCAGCCCATTCTACTTTTAGACAGTCGGAAAATCATACAAATTCATAATTGGAAGAGAGCTCAGTGACCATCCTGTCCAACCCATTAATGAGAGTTGAATGCCCCATTCACTCTGCTCCTCCACCTCTTCCCCAGGGATGGCTGGGAGTGAGCTTGTGGCCATGCAAGGAGGAGGAAAGTAGGGGGCAGGATACTGGGAGGCAACATGCCTAAATGGGAGAGTAATGTTGTCAGACTGCTCAGGATCAGCTCAAGTGAAATGATCAGTCAGTCTATCAATAAACATGTTTTAAGAGCCTACTATGTGCCAGGCACTGGGCTAAGTGCTGAGGATACAAAGAAAAACAAAAGACAGTCCCTGCTCTCAATAATCTAATGTGAGAGACATCATGTAAAGATCCATGTACAAACAAAATATAGACAGGATAAATTTGAGATAATCAGCCGAGGGAAGTCTCTTACATTAATGGAGATCATGAAAGGCTTCTTGGAGAGGGTGAGAGTTTGTCTGGGACCTAAAAGTCCCTCAGGACTGTGCTAAGAACTTTACAAATATTATCTCACATGATTCTCACAATAATACTGGAAGGTAGGTGCTATTATGATTTTCATTTTATAGTCGGGGAAACTGAGGCAGGGGTTACACAACTTGTCCAGGGTCCTACAGCTAGGAAATGTCAGGATTTGTCTGGAGGTGTCTGGAACCTGGATCTGAATTTAGGTCTTCCTAACTCTAGGTATGGTGCTCTATCCACTGAATCTCCTAGGTACGTCTCTAGGTGCTGGAAGAGGCAACATTTAGGTTAGGATGGATGGTTAGGATTTGAATTTTCATTGTCAGAGATGTAGGAGAAGGCATTCCAGGTGTCAGGAAAAAACCTGGGTTCTTTTTCTAGCTCTACTCTTTCTGTACATTAGCTAATCTGTCTCACAGCTTCAACTATGAGCTCTAGGGCTGGCATAATGGAGAGTACACTAGATTTGGAGTCAGAAGACATGGGTTTAGACCCCAACTTTGTTATTTGTTAAATGTATGACGTTGGCCTATTCACCTTACTCTCTGGACTTCAGTTTTCTTGTTCATAAAATGGAGAGATTGGACTTGATGACCTGGTTAGATCTGGGGTCCAACTCTAAATCTATGAGCTTAGCCTAAGGACTGTCAAATCTCATGTGTACACCTTGTCGCTCCCTCTCCTAGAAGGTAAGCTACCTGAGCACAAGGACCTTTTGTTTATTCATCTTAATACTTCCTTGGTGCCTAGCAGAGTGTATTACATAGGCCTAAGCAAAAGCACCAGGACTTGGGACCTTTTGGGGTAATAATGAATGAATAAAGTTAGACTTCTATGCAGCATTTGGCTCTGTAGACACCCCTCCCTTCTTGAAACTCTTCAAGAGAGAACATAGGAATACCAGAGAACATGGAATAAGTGGAGCTTTTTTTTTAGGCAATTGGGGTTAAGTGACTTGCCCAGGGTCACACAGCTAGTAAGCGTCAAGTATTTGGGCTGAGGCTGGATTTGAACTCAGGTCTTCCTGACTTTAAGGCCGGTGCTCTGTGTGGAGCTTTTCTTAAAACGATAAGCAGTATCTATCTAAAACCATCAACAAATGTTATCTGTAATGGTGATAAGCTAGAAGCCTTTCCAATAAGATCAGAGTTGAAGCAAGGATACCTATTATCACCACTATTATTCAATATTGTACTAGAAATGTTCATTATGGCAACAGATGAGAAAAGAAATTGAAGGTTGAGAATAAACAACAAAGAAACAAAACTATCACTCTTTGCAGATGATATGATGGTATACTTAAAAAACACTAGAGAATCAATTAAAAAAAACCAGTTGAAACAATTAACTTTACTAAAGTTGCAGGATATAAAATAAACTTATTTCAACATTACCAACAAAATCCAGCAGGAAGAGATAGAGAAATTCCTTCCATTTAAAATAACTGCAGACAGTATAAAATATTTTGGGAGTCTACCTGCCAAGACAAACCCAGAGACTCTACAAACACAATTATAAAACTTTTCACACAAATAGAGAGCTAAATAATTAGAGAAATATTAATTGCTCATGGGTAAGCTGAGATAATTTAATAAAAATGACAATTTTACCTAAATTAATTTACTTGTCCAGTGCCATACCAATTAAACTACCAAATAATTATTTTATAGAACTAGAAAAAATAACAAAATTCATCTGGAAGAACAAAAGGCCAAGAATATCGGGGAAGTCAATGAGAAAAAGATGTGAAGGAAGGTGGTCTGGCAGTACCAGATTTCAAACTATGTTACAAAGCAGTAATCATCAAAATAATTTGGCACTGGCTAAGAAATAGAGTGGTGGATCAATGGCATAGATTAGGAACATAATATATAGTAGTAATTGACCATAGTAATCTAGTGTTTGATAAACCCAAGGATCCAATCTTCAGGGGTAAGAATTCATTCTTTGACAAAAATTGCTGGGGAAACTGGAAAGCAATTTGGCAGAAACTAGGTATAGACAAACAACTCACACCATATATCAAGATAAAGTAAAAAAGGGTACATTATTTAGACATAAAAGGTGATATTATTAGTAAATTAGGGAAGTTTGGAAAAATTTATCTGTCCATGGAACCATGGATAAAGGAAGAGTTTATGACCAAACTAGAGGATAGTGGGAGGTAAAATGGATAATTTTGATTACGTGAAGTTATTAAGTTTTCACACAGACAAAACTAATGCAACCAAAATTAGAGAAAAAGAAGGAAACTGGTGGGAAATTATTCTAGTTTCTCTGATAAAGGCTTCATTTCTCAAATATATAGGGAATTGAGTCAAATTTATAAAAATAAAAGCCAATCTCCAATTGATAAATAGTGAAAGGATATCAATAGGCAGTTTTCAGAAGAAGAAATCAAAGCTACCATATATAAATGCTCTAATCACTATTGATTAGAGAAATGCAAATGAAAACAATTCTGAGGTAGCATTTCACACCTCTCAGTTTGGCTAACATAACAGAAAAGGAAAATGACAAAGGCTGGAGAAGATGTGGAAAAATAGATTCATTAATGCACTGCTGGTGGAACTTTGAACTAGTCTAACCATTCCGGAGAATAATTTGTAACTATGCCCAAAGGGCTACAAAACTGTGCATACCCTTTGACCCAGCAATACCGCTACTAGGTCTGTATCCCAAAAAGATTAAAGAAAAAGTCAAAGAACCTATATTTACAGAAAATATTTATAGCAGTTTTGTTGTTGTTGTTGTTGTTGTTGTTTTGGTGGTGCTAAGGAATTGGAAATTGAAGGGATGCCCATCAATTAGGGAATGACTGAACAAGTTGTGGTATATGATTGTGATGGAATACTATTGTACTATAAGAAATGACAAGCAGGATGATTTCAGAAAAACCTGGGAAGACTTATATAAAGTGATACAAAGTGAAGTGAGTAAGAAGAACTAGGAAACATTGCACACAGTAAGAGGATTATTGTAATGATAATCAACTGCAAAAGACTTAGCTACTTTGATTAATACAATGATCCAAGACAATTCCAAAGGATCCATGATGAAGAATACTATCCATCTCCAGAGGGAGAACTAATGAACTCTGAGTGCAGATTGAAGCAAACTTTTTTATTCTTTATTTTTCTTGCTTTTTTTTGTAACATGGCTAATATGGAAATATGTTTTGCATGACTTTGCATTTATAATTGATATTGACATATTGCTTGCCTTCTCAATGGATAAGAGGGGCTGGAAGGAGGGAGAAAATTTGGAACTCAAAATTTTAAAAAAAAGAATATCAAAAAAGTAATATTTCTTTTAAAAAAGAAACTCTTCTATTTCCTTTAAGACTTCACTTTCTTTCCTGGTTGTCTTCTTCTCTCACCACTCCTTCCTTATCTCCTCTGCAAGTCTTATTTTCCTCTCCTATTCACCATTGCCATTTTATATAGTTCAGTACTTGGTCTTTTGTTCTTTTCTCACTATATTCTTCCCCTCCAGAAACTCATCTTGTTTAATGGCTTTTATTAGCATTAATGACTCTCATATCTCTGTCTCCAGCCTGATCTCTTACCTAAATGTCCAGTCTGATTCAATCCACTCAAAACAGCTACTAGTCATCTCCACTTGTACATATCACTCTCACCTCAGAGTCATATATTTAAAACCAAACTCTCCATCTTTCCTTAGAAATCTGTTCCACTTCCCAGTTTCCTTTTTCTGCTACTAATCCCACTATTCTCCCAGTCACTGATCTTCCTTTATCTGTCCTAATCCTTTAGGCAAGGAAGGAAGGAAGAAAATAAGCATTTACTAAATGCCAGGCACTGTGCTGAGCATTTTACAAATGTTATGTTTTTTGATCTAGGGCCTAGCTCAAGTCCAACTTTCTCCAAGAGGCTTTATAATTATGATTACACATCTTTTGACTTCTAGGACTGGTCCAATTTCAACAATAGGAAATGTTCTTTAACAAAATTTTTCCAAAGAAATAGCCTTTCTCAGACCTCATTGTCTCCATTTTTTCAACTCAAAAAATTAGGTCACCATACTGATGTAGCGCACACTGTCTGTACCACCCATTTAAGACTTAATCACATTCTATCCTGTATGGTTATGTAATGGCTTCTTGTGCTCTGTATCTTTTTACTTAAACTCAATGTATAAATTCCTGGAGGGCAATAACTTTGTCTTTTAATTCTTTTATATCCCCATTAGTGCCTAGTACAGTAACAAGAACATGGCTTACTTATATCTATCAATTTAATGAATTAATA